TTCTATCAACTTAAGTTTTCCAGGTATCTATATACCGATCGAAATCGCACGCATGTGATCGCATCGCATATGCATGCATGTCTCGATCTAAAATTCAAGAGAGAAGCGTTCTCAAGGCCAGCTGCGCTTGCAAGATCCGCTGCTGAAGCTCTAGCTTCCGAGCTTTTTGTTCGGAGGAAAAAGTCTTATCCTCAACAGCAGGAGTCGGCAGCGTAGGAGATCCTTACATAGCCGCATCGATTGAACATGCAAGGATGCGTGAAGAATATGGTGTCCCGCAAATCCAAAAGCACAGAATTGCAGCATTGCCATGCATGCATGTGCATAGATTCCGAATCAATTAACCGCAGCCCAAGATGCCAGCGAATGGATTTCGTGGGGGCGGGGTCACCGGCGGTGATGGGCTATGATGGGGGAGGGCTCGCAAGTGGCACCGATCCTGACAGGCTGGCGGGGATCGAAAGAGCGGCTGAGGTTGCCACGGGAACTGCAAAGGAGCCTGGAGGGCACGGTGGGGTTGAAGGTGGTGGGGTTGCGGTTGGTGGTGGGGTTGCGGTTGTTGCGGTTGGTGGTGGGGTTGCGGTTGCTGCGGTTGGTGGTGGGGTTGCGGTTGTTGCGGTTGGTGGGGGGGGTGCGATTGTTGCGGCTGGTGGCGGTGTTGCGGTTGGTGGCGGGGTTGCGGTTGGTGGCGGGGTTGCGGTTGGTGGCGGAGTTGCGGTTGGGGGTGGGCTTGCGGTTGGGGGTGGGCTTGCGGTTGGGGGTGGGCTTGCGGTTGGCGGTGGGGTTGCGACTGGTGGCGGGGTTGCGGTTGGCAGTGGGGTTGCGGCTGGTGGTGGGGTGGCGATTGGCGGTGGGGCTGCAGCTGCTGGGACTTCCTCCTGCACGAGCGCTCTCATCAACATATCTTCACGCATGCACGCTCACTCGGGCTTATCATGCATGCATGTGCATGCCATGCATGCATGCAGCAAAAAAATGCGGTATACCTGCATGGCCATGCAACTGCATGTATATATATGCATGATACGGTAGTATGCTGTATATGCATGCATGCGCATGCATGCATGCCAGATATATATGCGCACATAATGCAGGCATGCCGTCGACGCCTCCTCCGCCGCAGGATCTCCGCCGGCACGGCGGCGACGGACTTCGTCGACGTCTTCCTGCGTGACGCTTCGGATGCCATGCGTGATAGCTCATTGCGGCAATGATAAGCTAGTCTACGCACGTATGCAGATATGTAGCTGTATAGAGCGTTAGAATAAGAGGCACCTGCTACACACACACACACACACACACACACACACACCTGGCTCAGCAGCTGCATGGCTCGATCAATCTGGATTTCTGATCCGAACTCTAGCTAGGCGGAAGCGTTAAAAGCGTTGCCAAATCAGAAGTAAGGTTTGCTTCGATCCAGCACTCACGAAAGATCTGCGTGCAGAGATGCGTGGGCACAAAAGGGTTCCCGCCTGCAGCTCGGGATTCACGACGAGGCACATGTCTTGGAAATCCCACATCTCGGATTTGCAAGGGTGCGTTGCTGCACTGAATTATTTAAATACTATATCGCGTTACTTAGAACTCCGCACACAATACAATGATTGCAATAGATACGTAATTAGCCGGGGCGCGGTGGAAACTTCACGCCTTTGGGCTTTCCTCTTGATGAAATTCAGCAGTTTCTACATGGTTTTCATCGCAATCCGTTTGGTTGAGGAAGTACAAGTTTTCCACTTCTTCTCGTAAGCTTTCAACTTCAGGACGCTTGTGACCGCAAGCCGTTGATCTGATCAGCACTGGTGTCAGCACATCAACGTTGCTAACGCAGCGGCTAATAGAAAAGTCGGATAAGGTGCCGAACAGCAACGGCTCGCCACTCCTGAGTCTGGACCGCAACGGCTCCGTCCGATCCCACTCATCCCTAAGCCCCTTTGCGTCAAACCTGGCCGCCGTGGCCGCAGGATACACAGCTGAAGAGCCAAACTCTGCATGGCGGAAAGCAAACCTTCGAATCGCAATCATAATCGGAAGCGTGAGCAACTGATTACCGAGGCCTGGGCACGCAGTGATTCCCCTCACTGCACGGCCTACGTGGCTTGCTCACCCCTGCATGAGCCACATAAGCCTTTGGAAGGGCGCCCGGATATCACAGGCCCACTCTTGTGAGCACAAGCCCTCATTGCCCACATGTCAAAACTAATCTAATCCTAAGATAATGTATGCATGCTGGGTTCAAAAGTAGGTATTTGGAGAAAACCATGTTTTGAACATAGGAACCAGGTTAATTCCCAATGTCAGGAAATAACCGAGGACTTAGAACTCGACCCGCTTTATAATAGGTTTTGGAAGACGTAGGTAGGTCCTCGCTGAGCACGCACATCCCCCACGTAGGTTGAAACAGTCGGCAGCCACATTTACAAACAAGCTAAGCCCTCAACAAAAGTCTGTATATACAACAAGAGGTTCACTTCTGTTGGCTGCTGAACGAGGGTTCGCCAGTGGTAGTGTACAGGCAAGTGTTCAACGCTACTGGTCCCTATATGAAAATAAAAGCCGGTCGAATTATTTCTTCTAGTCTGTGACAGTCGGAAATAGCATTGAATTACTGCGGCGGTCGGTAATAAGCATCGCAGGGTGGCGATGTGTGCACATGAATTGGGATTTGTGCTGCTTCTTCGAGCTCTCGCATGGTTTGAAAAGGCAACATGCATTCCCCCGGCAAGGATTGGCTATACTGGAAAAAGGCAAGGGCACCGGGCTCGGCCAAGTTAGAAGCAACTCAACAGCAAAGAGAAAGGTTGCCTCCCCCGGTACCCTCCCCGCGCTCTGTACTTTTTCACTAGAGGTCTCGGCGCTCACGGCTGTTGCGCATATGTTCTTGTACACACCGACTCTGCCATTGCATGCTGGGCTGGAGTCGGACTCGTCGCTGTGGGCTGCGACTTGGGGTGCGGGGCGTGCTGGACACATCTTCCATGCGGTTTTCTGCGTCGCCTTCCCCAGCACGGGCTTGCTGTGGGTCTGCATTCCCCACTATATTGGCTGCACTCTCCGTGTTGTCCTTGGTTGACTCGGGACTCCCACAGTCTACTTCGTCATCTTCCCGCATTTCTCGCATGTCGGTCCCAGCAGCTTCTACTTCAGCGGTTGCTTCTTCATGGCGTCCCCCCTGTGACTCAGGTGCCTGGCTGGCCGTCCTCCTCCGGATCTTGCGGGCTTGCTTTAGCAAGCTCCTGGCTTTCTGAGGGAAACGTATCACATACGTGTCTCAGCGGCAACATCAGGGAGGTACTTGTCGACGATTTTCGTGAGTCTGTCTGCTATCTCCCCCAGCTGGCATCGTTTGGCGAAGCGTTCGCGGTACTTATTGTATTCCCCCGTCTCGGTCTCGTCCAGTGGCATGCCAGTTGCGAGGTCTACCCATATCCCGTCTTCATCATTAAACCTCTCTGCTTGCCCATTTGTCAAGCGGTCCTGGCAGGAAGTGCAAGTCCCAGCCCCCTCCTGGTTATAAAGCGCGTCATCTGGGAGAAGGGCACCTGCGGAGGTCGTGGGTCCCCGCCTCCTTGGCTTGTGCGGTGCAGTTCCCTGAAGCATAGGTCTGTTGCTGGTGCCTTTCTCTGTGCTCTCGTGGAAACGGCATGCTGGGTCAGCCCTTTCGTGCACCTTCCGAAAGCGTTGTTGACATATGCCGCCTCCGTATCAGCACAAGCGGCACTCCTTTTTCCCCCCTTTTGGGGCCATGGTACCACGGAACTTCACACTCACGGTCTCCCTGCCAAGTCACGAAAATCCGGTAGATGGTCTCCCCCACTCAGCGGTGGCGTTCTCGAGGCGAAGCTCAGCCGGCAGCTTAGGAGCGAGGAAGCTGAAGAGTCTTGTGTCCCCCTCCGCAAGAAGGTTCAAGCAGAAGATCTTGCAGGCACTAGGTCGCCGTGCTGCAAGTAGCGTTCGGACTTGCCGTTCACGATTATTGCTCGCCCCCCTAAGGAAGCAGCAGGGACTCTTAAGCACAATGGCGGCGGACGGATGGCCTCAAGCACCGCTGAAGCAACTGGAAAGGCTCTCCCGGAGGAACGGTCCAGGCCAACCTTCCAGCTCCCCCCCGATGCAAGGAGGTGACACACACCCCCAAGCAAAGGTGCAGTACTTGAGCCAAAATGGCTCTCTCTCTCTCTCTCTCTCTCTCTCTCTCTCTCTTTTGCTTGCTCTCAGCCAAGGAGGCGCCAGCACGCACCGGTCTCTCTCTCTGTCTCTCTCCGACCGTCTGTGACTATCTAACTGGTGGCAACTAACCACTCCGATAATTAACTATTACACGAACTACGGCTGACGAAGCATCCGACCGAACAAGTATATAAGTAACCAACGAACTGACTGACTGTCTGCCGACGGAGTGACGGATGGAACGGACGGACTGACCCAGGGTCGTGCATGGACACACAACCACCCTTGGCTGAGGTCTTGAGCCTCAGATAGAATACCGCAAGACTACCTCAATCCTAAATGATCTCCCCCTTCTAAGGACTGTATATAAAGAAATCCTTATAAGGAGCCCTGACCATGCAGGTTCTTTAGGGTCCCGGAAGACACGAGCTTGCGATCCTGTCGCTGTTGAGATTCAGTGTAGTACGTGGCAAAGTCTGTAAGGTGTTCGTTTTAACTGCAGTGCTCGTGATCGAAAAACCAGAGCGTCTCTCAGGTGCACCGCAAAAGCGAGTCTAGTAGCTTCTCAGTTCGATACGGAAAACATCCCTGGCCTGGGGCTCCCAACAGTTCAAATTGCTGCGCTCAGTGAGGCAAACAGTGCGACATCCGATGTAACTGCCCACCCAGAAACAGCACCGCAAGCGACCCCTCTACAGCTAGCATGCAGCCTCAAGCATCCCTGCTGCTTGGGCTTTCTTTCTCAGCATCCTGCGATCCCAATCCGATGCAGTCAATCTTGAACCTCGACTTCGAAGCTGTGAGTTCCCTCATGCGGTCGAAGGGGCAGAGGAGCTGCGCGGTGCCATGACCTGCAAGAGAGAGCAGCCGAGCGGATGATTGACAATCCTGCCAAAATCCCCAGCAGTGCCTTCACCGATGGAACCTCTACCAGGGTGACTGAAGTGTATTCTTGCTTAACCTCCAGGGACCATGGTGTTGTTGAGAGCTATGTCTCTAGTGGGTCGCAGACTAGGTATCGGAACTACTCGTGTGTGTGTGTGCCTGTGCATACGTGTAGACACACATGTATGTGTGTATATATATATGCTCTATATTTATTTATTTGTTTCTATATTTGTATGTCCTATATCTGTATTTTACATACATACATATAGCATACATACACATACATACATACATACATACATACATACATACATCATACACATACATACCATACATACCATACATACATACATACATACAGACATAGCCACCACCCCTGGCCTGGGTAGGTTTGCTGCACAAGAAAAAAATTATGCGGTCAGGCTCCCGCTAAATGGCAGCAACCTCCTGCCTGCTTGAGCCAATTCGAGGAGTCCTTTGTGTTCTCTCGTCGTGCGATTTTTGTGGTGCCTTTTGGTACAGGATGAATGGGTCATGGACCTGGGATTCTGATTTGGAGTCAGGATTTTGTGCTTCGGCCTCAAGCGTATGGGGACAAGTCGGGCAGAGCTACAGGGTCTTACATGTGCTGTACATCAGGTGCTTGCGTAGCTAAGACCCGCACAAAACACAGGCCAGAGATCGATTCGCCAAGGCGGCAACACTAAATAGGTTCACACAGCCTGACCTGACCAGCAGGGCTGTGGCAGGGACCGCTCTGTAGACACCAGCTCCATGTCAATCTAGTTCGAACATCTGCTCGGCCGCACATTTTGCCAAGCACTTCTCAGCACACATGGTTTGCCTGTCTTGCGACAAAAGGCGAATTCGCGCAGGTTCACGACGCGACTCTTGGCGCCTGCGTCTTTTTGACGCTAACAGAGCTGTGGGCCCGTCCTTGGAGCCAGCTCAGATGGGATGTTATCTCCACCTGCAAGCTAACAAATCAGCCAAAGAAGGAGGCTAGCCGGAAATCGCAGACTGAATGACTCATGGCGTCCTTGCGCAACACCCGAAGCTTTGGATCCCCAAACCCGGCCCAAACCTAAACATGCAATGATCTTGGCGATACTTTGACCCTGCGAGCCGAAAGTCTACAGCGTTGGACAGCCCCAGCAGACTCTCCAGAATTCCAAATTTCCGAGCGCACGCAGCAGAAAGACATAGGTCCCTCGACACTTCAACGCAGCCAGTCAAGCCCATTATCGTTGGCCCTTCGCCTTGAGGCCTAAACCCGAAACCCGGATGAAGGCTCCAGCCCAACACCCTATCCAATGAATTGGCCAAAAATACCCGAACCCATGAAACCTCCGTCGGCCAAAGCTTGCACCTTCCCACTCAAAAGCACTGCAGCCCCGAAGCTTGGACTCAAAACTTCCTTATGCACCACGGCTCCCACCACCACCACAACCACTGCTGAGAAGACCAGAAACAACTTTCTGCTGTTTTGACAACTTGTAGACGAACGCCCCGACTGAAAGCCGTCAGCTCGAGCCCGGCACTCCCAGTTCCAAGGCTGCGACTCCTGCCATCCATACCAACGAAAGAAGTCGTATGAAGTAGGGCTGATGCCAAGGTTGATACTGGATGCTGCTGGATCATGCGACGTACTGGTCGCAGTGCCATGTCGGAATACCCACACAGAGAGCAGGTGTTCTGCGCAAAGGGCATGGATCGAGAACAGAATCGGCTTCCACACAGCTCTGCACAGTTCTTCGTGCAAACCATGGAGCTATAAGGACGACTGACATCTCATAAGCTAGCCAATAGATAAGATCTTCATATATCTTCATGCAACAGGTTTCGAGCGACATGTTCTCATTGATATCTTGTCTGGGTATTCACGTCTGCACCTACATAGTTCAATCGATAACTGCAACATAAAAACCAACGAATGATGCACCTGCGGCTTGAAACATAACCAGTAGTTCATTTAAGTCTGATTCAGCGCACCGTAGTCTATTGCTCTCACGTGATAACGAAGCACGCTTTCGTCCTTGCGGAAACCACAGACAAAGGACAGCGTACACCTGGCGAAAGCTCTGATACTTTGGATGTTTGGGCGCAGGGCAGCTTTGGGATCCTACTAACCTGAGGTCTTCAGAGTTCAGCCAAAACGGGGGGATGCAGACTACGATGCATGCGTAGCTCTGATGTGGGTGGGCCCCGAACGCTCTCGGTCTAGTGCGAAACCTGTCAGAGAAAAGAAACCATACTCCCAAGATTAAGGTGCACCCAACGCTACCCTTGCCAGGATGAGCCTTCGCGCTCTAGACTCTTCTGGGTAACCAGCCTTCTCGAAGAACAACATGCCAAAGAGCCCTTCCCTGGAGTCAAGAGATGTCTGGACCACGAGATCGCGGCGGCGATCGCGAGAATGCCGGCAGTTTGCAGCTGGCATTTGCGGCTGTTGTGCGGTCAGGTTCAGGAACTTATGGCTTGTGGATCTGTGCGCACTTTGAAACCAGAAGGGGCCCGAAGCAGTTTACTTTCAAACAGGAGGGCAGCACCTCCCATCAAACCCAGAAGAAAGTCACAGCCAAACTTTCTGTTGGTATGCTCAGAGTTCGTACGAGCACCGATCCGTAGCCTCTCCTGGGACTGTGGCCTCAAAGTGATATTGTGATTGGATTTTTGGAGCCTTTCAGTTTCAGGGAGTTACAGCCTGCGATGTTTGGAGATCGCGGCCTTGAGTCTGGAATTTGGGCCTTTGCGGTGTCGGCCCCTGACCATCTCTACCGAGCCTGAGCAGCGCATGAGAGCCACAAGTCCCGACAACCAAAAGCCTATAAGTTTCATTATAGACAAGGTCAGAATCGGAGGAGCGAGGAAGTCGGCCTCGTGCTCAGTAGCCTGGCCGTTTGGGGCTTGAATTTGGGTAGGGCGGTAGTGGCGTTTAGCTCGGGCTCCTCGCGGCAAATGCAGAAACGTGAAACGCAAGCGCGCTTGCAACTGGGATGTTTCTTTTGACACTGCGATATGATTCCTACTTTGCAGCGGCATTCTCAGGTCTGGGTGCTGGCTTTGGGACAGCTCGCACAAGTCTTGTGCTGCAGAAGCTGAAGATTCCAAAGACTGACAATTGCCAGCCTTCGTTTGCCGCTCTGGCTCAAGCCCTCAATTGACATTCCCGATGTCCATGTCTGTCCGACATTCCCTGAGGGCCTCGAAAAACACATGCCCAACTCCCTGTACACCGCAAGGCAAGTCCTCAGGCATCCAACCCGGAGTCAATCTGTGACTGCGCCTTCCACACCATGAGCCTTGCTGGTCCAGAGCGGGGGGGTTTCGGGTTGTTGGACTGAGTCCGTGCACGCGAGGTTTGGAGTTGATGAGCGCTTGACCGCATATGTCCTCAATGAGGCTGCTAGATTTGCCCACAAGACCAAGAAGCGAAGCCAGGTTTGCAGTCTGTTCTTCCAACTCCCGAATCCAAAACTGCAGAACAGGAGCCCACAGGCCACAAAGCCCAGGAGGAGAAAGAGGAACTTAAAGCATTGGCAAATCTCCTGAGAGCGTCTGCCTAATTTATGTCAAGGGCTCAAGGGGTGATGAGCTGAGAATTAAGGGGCTTCGAGGTGTAAAGGTTTTCGAGGTGCTGCTTGGGGCTTTTGCCATAGTCAACCTGCTTGTCCTTTCCACCGGCAGACGGCCCGGTGTAGGCTTCGCATTGAGATGTCAATTTTGGTGCTACTTCGGTGTTGAGATTCTGGGTTAGCCCCTTGGCTACGGATTAAGTTAAGCCCCTTCAAGATGAGTGTCCCAGGATTTGCAGGGTCATGGACCGTGCGGTTTGGGATGCTAGTGGAGGTGGAGGGATGGATCAGTGGAAATGGTGCCATTTTACAGCGACTTAGATCACCACAGGTGGTGTGTTGGTGCGATGTACACCACATCACTGAGCGAACCCAGGCCCTGAACTTTCCACGTGTTTCTGGCTTGGAGCATCCGATTGCTTGGAGCCGCACTGCCATGAAGCTGGCCAGCTCTCAGCAGACGCTATGCAGAACGCATGGCCGGCGTGGGCTGTTAGCAGTTTGAGATGCAGATTTGAAAGTTGAGGTTGAGGGTGTAGGATTGTTTTTTTTGGAGAGCGTTGTCTGGGCTCGGGGTTCATTCATTTTAGATAAAGGGTTTTGAGAACACTTCTTGGCAATAAGCCAGGCGTTATGGTCCGCAACAGGAAATTCTCAAAGAACTGTGCTTAAAGGAAGAAAGGAGAGAGATAGGATTTCACTTGCAAACTGTCAGGACTCACACGACTACAGCTCCTGAAAGCCTTTGTTCCAATCACAGCCTCTGTGCCAGACTGTCTCGTTATCATCCTTCGTTCGCATGCTGGGTTGCTGGTGGCATACTCTGGGGTGTTCTGGGGTTTAGCAGAGCAGCAACCCAGCGATTTGGGTGCGAGAAGGCGTCTTCCAGCACTGCTAGTGTACCATACATCGATAAGTACTTAAGCCTTTATCCCGTGGCCTGGACGGACAATTGTGAGATGCGGGCATCACCGTCTGGAAAAAGGCTTCGGGAATAGCGTATGATATATTACAGCTCCACAGGATGACAATGAGGGACGAAGCACACTCCCAACTATGACAAGACCCTGCAAGACTGCATCGGTACATGCTGGGAAACGGGGTACTGCATTTCGGCGTCGGATGCGAAGCGAGCTTGCTGCTTCACTGCCGAGGAAAATCGCTGAGTGGGGGTGAGAAGAGAAGGTGATGCCATCGTTCATCATCCCTAGGCAAATCTACAGTGCAAGGGAGTGCAACGATCAGGACGACCGAAGTACTCCTGCAAAGCGTATCAGGATGGATACTCGATGCCATAGTACCTCCATCGGAGATGAAAGGCCCTAGTTGTGTGCGAGTGGTGTTACGGCTCAAGGTTTGCGACGCTTAAAGAAATTTGATAACTCTACCTGTGTAACGGACTGGACGAACTCTCGATGAATCTCAGGCGGCTGCTGTGAGTGTCGCAAAAAGTTCCGTGGGCCCGTTGCAGCATAACCCGCTCAGACAGCAGATGCCGTGCTTGGTACCAGTAGCTCAGTATCCACTGAAAGCTGATATGTTCTGATGGGGAACCCTCCAGACGTTCAAGAAAACCCCGGCAACCCCAAAGTCCGTTAGTGGATCACGGCGATAACAACGATTCGACAACGCGACCCACGATTTCAGCGTCGCCGCCTGACATCACCCTGGCGGCCCTCCAATGGCATAGGCCAGGAGAGGAGCGCTTCCACATACCTCAAGAATTCTACAGTCTCCAGACTCCAGCTCTTGAAGTCCGTAAGCCGGCAGTCCAAGAGAAACAAACCACCTGGTTCCAACCGAAGCTTTTGTCACGACCTGTAAGTTGCGAAACACGCAATCACACAAGCTCCCAAACCTCTCCAACCTCTGCAACCCATCAAGGAGGGAACACACGTTCACTCGGCCCAGCGACTCCATCTCCTCACGCAGAGCCTTCGCCCACTCGAGTGCATCAGCCTGAGGAAATCCCAGGATTTGGGGACCAACAAATATGCACAAGAGGACAACAACAAGAATGACACAGCTCAGGGGTTATGTGTTTCAGCGCGGCGCAGTGACATGATTCCAGAGAACGGTTTGGGGCTTCGGGCTTGGGTATTCAACGGTTTGCGGATTTTTGGCTCAAGCTCGACAGCTTAGGCTAGTTCTCAAGCCTGCTGATTTCTTTCAGTTGGGCGCACATGTACAGGGGTCTTCGCGCGAGAACAGAGCGGAGTCATAGCTGCTGGAATCTTCAGTGAGAAATTGATGGCCGGTAGTAGGCAGAATACGCCGGTGGCAAAAGGATGCCGCAACTTGACAACATCCATGCCGGCAATCACAAGTGAAAGCAAACATGCAAGCCCACAAGGCCCGCTCGTTAGAAGACCAAAAATGATCACCCCAAATCTCAAGAATCTAAAACGCTGCTTGGACGATCAACTCAGCGCCCAAGGTCAAGACAGCAACCGACATTCCAAAGCTGCCGCTTCTGTGTTACTTAAGCACATTCGCGGCGCGATGATGTTCTGCCAACCGAAGATGCGCACACGTAGGGGCTGCAGTCTTCCAGAGGCTCGGGGAATCATCAAGTGCAGAATAGCGAAGGAGGCCTTTCCCTACAATCAAACCGGAAATCTCAAACACAAGGATGGCGAACATGGACACCGCGATCCGTCCAGGGGATCTCACAAAGAGGTGCAAGGCATGCATCGGAATGAGCGGCTGAACCTCCGCTCGCACCAAATCGAAACGAAGCCTGTGAATCTAATGTGCTAGGAATCCCACATGGCTCTCCATGCGGAGAAGCACTCGCTCGCCCATGGCCTGCTAGACTTTCCGCTGAGAGTTCAACGGCTGTATTGCTTGGCTTGGACACCCGCTCGCCTTTCCAATTACTGGCTTCGGGAGTTACGGTCTTCCGTGAAGCTCTTAAGCTCCTCAAACTCCGATGCCTTGGATGACGAGCCACTGCGGCTCTCGCAGACAAGCTCCAGGATGGCACCCTGCCACCCCGTGCATGCGTCTACGACAAGTGATTGCTGTGATACGCCGCCATGCTGCCGCATGTTCGCGGTACATGAGTCAAGAGCAATAGTTTGCTGCGCCAGATCTCAGGCTGGGATTGAAGGAAACCGCTCCTGTCGAAGCTCAACAATAAATCCAGAAAGCACCTTGTTGCGCTATATTCTTGCATCGAAAGAAAGCACAAGTCCTCAGGAAGTACATGCTTAGAATAGAGGCCAGCCTCGTGCCGCATTAACACCCAGCGCGTGATGCCGTCGCTCAGCCGCAACTTCGCCGGGAAAGCAATTTAGGAATGTCGAGCGTCAGGTGCAAACTTTGCTGACACAACTAGAGAGAGTTCGACCCAGACCCAGACCGAGACTCGCAGCCAGCTGGCCGACAGTCTCCCTCCGATCCCTCGCTAAGCTTATCACAACTATTCCCAAGAACGAGCAGAAGCATACTAGTAGCAGAATAGAACAGCGGGAAGGCACAAATGAATAACCTTTCAACAACAGATCCAGAGATCTTTTTATCCGTGTTAATCCTCGTCTGCATTGCGAGGCTGGTTTATGCCGTCAGCCAATGAAGAGCACCATGAAGACACGGAACTGAACCACCAAAATCCCCTGCTTTGGTATGTGGGAAATCCAAAACATGAGGACGTATTCCATTGACAGGAATGTCATAGCCATCCGTGCCGGTGAGAACGAGTGTCGCAGCGACTGCGTTTAAATTGAATTGATTTAAGCGATTGCGATGCTTGGCACGTTTGGCAGTGAACAAGACTCATTCGATGTTAAAACCCTCACAAAAAAGGTTTGGGGACTTCACAGCTGCGGAATTGGAAAATCTGCTAGGCACTTGTCCCAAACGAGCACCTGCAGAAATGCCCGAAACCGGAATCTGAACAATTACGATCAGGTCAAGTCTTGCCTGGATTCTAGCGCTTCCCGCAGTGCAGTACCCATGAAGATTCGTCTCCCAGACCACCCTCTTGCACCTCTACATCCGGAGGTCCTTGTGGCTCCTCTGCACAAAAGCGTGCACTGCCAGCGCTCTAATCGGGTCAGTGGTTGGGGGTGCCGTGTCGATTGTTCTCCTTCTTAAAGCCACGTGGCATAGAAGAGATGCTAGATGTAGAGGTCCTTCTGACTCTATACAGTACCCAGCTCCGTCCTTTCTCCACCACTGGAGCTTCCCAGCTCTGAGCTCCACATGGCGTCGAGCCTCGTGAGGTCAGGATGTAGGGCCGTGCAGAGTGAAGGATGCCGAGCAGAAAACGTATCCTTGTATTAAACCCCAATGCTCCAGGAATGGTTGCTTTCCTGAAATTCGATCCCACAACACCCCCCGCCCCCCAAGTTCAAAGACAAGATAGTACCTGCATCAACTTGCAGATGTGTCTACCGGCATGTCTCCGCTACTTCGGCCTGCCTGTCTCACCCTCTACTTCCTTATCACCTTTTGGTCTTTTCCTCTTTTCTGACGAGATGTAAGCTCATTAAAGACACTATAGAAAAGAACTAGATAGATAAAACGAAAGATAGGTCGAAAGATGGATCGAACAATAGATCGAAAGAAGGATGGATAGATCGTTAGACCGACAGATGGATGGATAGATTGGTGGGTAGATAGATAGCTAGGTACAGACAGATAGATAGATAGATAGATAGGCAGACATATAGGTAGATGACAGACGGACAGACAAAGAGACCCAGCGATAGATGGATTGATAGATTGCTCGACATGTAGGTAGATAGGTAGGTTGAGAGGTAGATAGATGGGTAGGCAGGTAGGCAGATAAATAAATAGATAGGATAGACGAAGCATGAGACATATAGCCATATAAGACGGCTTCGACCGACAATGTTGTCGTGCACAAGGCTGCGAGGAATTCCTGTCCGATCAAGTATGCTGTGCGGGCAGCTATGAAGAAAGACAGCATGGAGAGCTCTGGTTTGAGTAGTTCCTCAGGCGAGCACATGGTCAAAACAAGAAAGAACCCGAAGCCCAAACCCCTCAGCCTGCCGACAACAGTACAGTAAACCCCATAAGTTGGAAACCGGATTGAGGCCAAACAGAGCTGGGATTCCCTATACACTACTCTTAAGGATTGAGGCTATTGGGTTTCCAACTTTTGGGCTTCTACTGTAATGTCGCTGGCAGACGCAACTCAGAGGTTTCAAGTGCGAGCAGCTTCCATTCGTGGTAAACGTTAGTAGCTTTTCATTCTTGAGGGTGCTTGCAGCTACAACACTCGCACTGACCAACAATGCGCACTGTGATTGTGCAGGAACCCCCACAACTTAGACCACAGACGTTCTCGTGGTTGGGCCATGCGTGCTCTGGCCTCAAAACGGACTAAACCATGGACGTTATGGTTGGGTCATGCGTGCTCGGACGAGACCATTGACGGCATCCTGGTTGAGTCATGGATGCCCTGGCCTCAAGGACTGAACCAAGACCGTCATTATTAGTTTTCATGCTTTGGCCATGGATGTGCAGACCTCAAAGCCATGCACGTTATCAATGGTTGGGCCATGCAAGCTGTGTGTAACGGATACATGAAAAACGGACGCATGGATGCTTTAGAGAACGGACATGGGCTCGCCGGCAACAGGATGCACTCACAAGTGAAGTTTGTCATGGCAAGGCGGAATTCCGGTAACCGCTGGTCCGCGGGCTGAACCCAACACTCGCACATAAGAAAGCAGCCCCCTGAGTATGGGCTATGGAAACATTCAGCTTATATTGTATGAATTGTGTGGATTACGTTTGGCGGCTGTTAGGCCATCTCGGGCCCACGGCCCACCACCAGCCCCATCCAGACTTCAGCTTCATCTTTCCAGCCCTTGGACGCAAGCACACCACTCGTGCATGAGCTGCTGCACAGGCTGCTACTGTCATTTCTGCCCCGCTTCTCGACATCATACGAATCACCGTAAACCAAGCCCTCCGCGACTGCCGCGCCGAAGCGGCCCCAAATCCCCGGAAGCCCGAACCCTCAGCTTCCCCCTCTTGCATCTTCGGCTCAGTCTCGGGGCTGCGCGCCCTGCAAATGACATGCCCCCCAGCCCTAGAGGCCCCAGCTGGGACTTCGGGTTCGAGTCCAGGGCTCAGGCCTGATGTGGACGGAACAAACTTTCCTTAAAGACGGGGCCAGATGGAAAGCTACGTGGCAGACACCAGCTGAAGCACCACCAAGCCCTAAACGTGCTTCGGAGAGTTGGTTGGGCTTCGGGCCCCTCGGTTTTCCGGGCAACATATCGGTCAAAAGAAATGTCCTCTGCTCCGGGAAACTTTGAATCCGAAGGTGAGGGCATTCGATTCGGCTGAAAGTCTTCCAGGACTTTGTTGGCAGACCTCCTGAACCTGTGAACCCGAAACTCAAGGCTCGGAACACGAAGCTTTGCTCTGGCAAGATGGTGTCGGGTGGCTTTGGGTTTCAGGCACTTAGGGGCAACATGGGACAAAAAGAAGGCCAACATTATGTAAGCATAATGAACTTTATCAAGCCACCCTTCCAGTGTAGCGCATTGTGGCAATGAAGATTCCGTAACACGAAAGAAAACATCATCGAAGGGCAGCTCCAAAGGCTGATGCATGGTTCCGTGCCTGGTGCTGGTGAGCTGGGCTGGTCAAACCTGTGCACGAGCCAGCATGTCACGGCTGCCTAAATTCCGTTGTAGGGCGTGGGCAGGGTTTTACATGTTGAACGAATTCGTTGCGTGAGTTCAGCCGGGCGCCCCCGATCTGGTAGAATGTGTTCAGTTTGTGAACAGCTTACAGACGGAAACCTGGACGGCTTGGCACCTGAAAGAAGCATGCAGACGTCCCGGCAGATGCTACAGTGTTATCAAGTCGTGTGAACGGCATCTGTGGTTCGACACTTGACAAGCGTCTGAGACAGTGGCTGTGTGACATTCAGAGTTCAGCACATGTGTGTTTAGGCACAAACTTTGCTCTCCGAGAGCGTTGCACAGGCCTGTGATCCTTTGGAGGCATGCTTGAAGCCTGCCATCGAGGTGGACTTTGATTCGGGGGATTAGGGCCACTTCGTGGTTGCACAGTTCTCATTGTTGCCGATGGCTTCGGACTTCAACATGTTGGGGAAAGCCGGGCCGATCTCGGGAGAACCAGTTTGGTGGCAGGAGCGCGAACCTGTTGAAGAGGCGTATATACTGCTAGACTTGCGTTGTATGCCTCCGCAGACTCAACAACCCGAAAGATCAACATCGTGCCATTAAACCCCGGAAAGCCATTTGCACAGCCCTTTCATAGCCCCAACCCTTTGTCATACTCATTGGGAGCAGAACCACACCCTCGGGTGCCTCGGGTCTGACGCTTGCGCCCACTGCCACCGCTGAAACATCTTTGCTCATGGTTGATGCTGGCTGTGATGCACGCCTCGGGTATCCTTTGTCAGATTGCGAGGCACGAGACCGGGTCGCGGTCGCGCTTGACACTTTCAACGGATCAAGCTTGACCGAAGCCTCCTGGGCTGGCTGTCCCTTTGTAGCTTCAGCAATGGCGTTGGCTTCTTTGGCCCGCCGCTCCTCCTTACCAGCAGCGTCTTTAGCTAGCTGCTCCTCTTCAACCTTACTTGCTTCAGCAACGGCAACAACAGCAGCAGCAACTGCAGATCCTTTGGCTAGCCGCTCCTGCTCTGCCTTTTTGGCGTTCGCCGCAGCAACTTCCTCAGCCATTCGCACCTCTTCCAGCTTGTTGGCTTCGGCTGCTTTAGCCTCCTTTGCCTGTCGCTCTTCCGCAGCCTTTTTGGCTTCGGAAGCAGCAGTCTCCTTGGCCAGCCGCTCATCTTCCGCCTTCTTGGCTTCTGATGCTGCGGCAGCAGCCTCCTTCGCCCGTCGCTCTTCCTCAACCTTCTTGGCTTCGGAAGCAGCAATCTCCTTGGCCTGCCGCTCTTCTTCCGCTTTCTTGGCCTCCGCTGCTGTGGCAGCAGCCTCCTTTGCTTGTCGCTCTTCCTCAACCTTCTTGGCTTCGGAAGCAGCAATCTCCTTGGCCTGCCGCTCTTCTTCCGCTTTCTTGGCCTCCGCTGCTGTGGCAGCAGCCTCCTTTGCTTGTCGCTCTTCCTCAACCTTTTTGGCTTCGGAAGCAGCAATCTCCTTGGCCAGCCGCTCCTCTTCCGCTTTCTTGGCCTCCGCTGCTGCGGCAGCAGCCTCCTTTGCTTGTCGCTCTTCCTCAACCTTCTTGGCTTCGGAAGCAGCAATCTCCTTGGCCTGCCGCTCTTCTTCCGCTTTCTTGGCCTCCGCTGCTGTGGCAGCAGCCTCCTTTGCTTGTCGCTCTTCCTCAACCTTCTTGGCTTCGGAAGCAGCAATCTCCTTGGCCTGCCGCTCTTCTTCCGCTTTCTTGGCCTCCGCTGCTGTGGCAGCAGCCTCCTTTGCTTGTCGTTCTTCCTCAACCTTTTTGGCTTCGGAAGCAGCAATCTCCTTGGCCAGCCGCTCCTCTTCCGCTTTCTTGGCCTCCGCTGCTGCGGCAGCAGCCTCCTTTGCTTGTCGCTCTTCCTCAACCTTCTTGGCTTCGGAAGCAGCCATCTCCTTGGCCAGCCGCTCCTCTTCCGCTTTCTTGGCTTTGATTGCTGCAGCCTCCTCAGCCTTTTTGGCTTCGGCAGCCGCAGCCTCAGCAGCAGCAGCAGCAGCAGCCTCCCTGGCCAATCTTTCATTTTCTTCCTTTTCGGCAATTGCTGCCTGGGCTAGGCGTCCCTCCTCTACTTTCTTGGCTTCGGCAGCTGCATCCTGAGTCTTCTTGGTTTCATTGGATGGCTTGTCCTCGGCTGCCTGTGGCAAGTGCATGATTACGTTTCTGATGTTGGTAAACGCAAGTACAAAGTACGAGGGAGATTTTACCACACATCAGGGCGCAGAGATATGCATCACCCCATGGTGGACGCCATTTCAGGGAATTACACATCAGCGCCGGAATTATACATCACGGCACGGACTGTTGCATACTGCTGCCATTTTAATGCGGCATTAATGCGTTTTGGTGGCGAATCACGAAGGTGACGCTGGTTTCTGTTGTTGCAGAACTGCTGCTGCAGCCAAATACCCTTCGATCATCTCCGAAGCACTTATACTGCGCGATACAGCCGAAAACCACGTACCGCATCTCGACTTTCGAAGCTTACCGTTGGGACCAGGAAACAAACCAAGCCAAGATTCACGCACCGGGTGTTCATCTCCGAAACACATGTACTGCGCGATAGACCGTTCGAAGCCTATACGGTTGGCCTTGATTGCTGGCCAAACGTTGTGACCGAGACTCCTTCTCAAAAGCAACAGCTGCTAAAGGAAAGTCTCCGACTGCACCAGCAAACCCGGCCATTCCATACCACCGGAACCTCAGTGTGGACGCTGGGTCGATTTTCGGATGCATGCCAGGCCGGGCTCCGACATGCTTAACCCCGAGGTGAACGCTGAAGCGGTTGATGTCTGGATGTATTGCCAGAAAGGGCTCCGAGATGCTTAACCGCAAGGTGACGCTAAAACGCTTGATGTTTGGATGTGTGCCAGGCCGGGCTCCGAAATGCTTAAAAGGTGGACGCCGAAAGATGCGTATTTCCGCAACGCGATGCGAGTTAAACGCTCCCCTCGTTGCAAGCGCTTGTCACAAAGACAATTTCAGGCAAATGCAGCAAGGAATGAAGGTCCATGATCAATTGAGGTTATCTCCACGGCCCCGAACTACCTTTTGTCTTGGTTCTGCAGACAGCAGTGGTCAGGCATCATCCGTGGCACCAAGCCACTGCTGCCCAAGTCCCGAACCCTTAAACTTCATGTGATTGAATTCCATGCACGAAGCTCAGCGCCTTATCTGTCGGTGCTGGTGGCTTTTGCATTCCTTGGCTGATTTAATGCCAAGTTGCATGCAGGCTTGATGGATTCCATTTGAGGCTCATGTTTTCGGAGGTCGTTGGCAGGGGAATAGTCAGCTTCCGGATCACAGTATTTCGGGAATATGTCACTTCAGATTCGTTGAGGAGTCTGAAGTTCAAGCCCTCTTCCCAAGCATTGGTTCACTCCTGCTGCAGGCAGCACGACTGTACCTTTCAACTTCCTCACTTTGAATTTTCACTCGCAGAGGCCGACAAACAAACTCAACAGCAGTTTCAGCCCGAAGTCGCCACACCCCAACCTTACGCCTCAAGTGCACTTGCCTGAGATCCCGACCGAGGAGGACCCAGTTGTAGTCTCCTCCCGCCCTCAGGCAAGGGGCCAAAGGAACCGTGCATCGGCACTGCTAAGGAAGGAGGGCTCTGAGGGCATGGGGCTTACGATTCAAATGTCAGGGTTTTCGGTTTTCGGCCAAGGCTGCACAACAATCTTTGAACAATCTTTGACTGTGATGGCGATTTTTGTAGGGGTTCAATTGTCACACCAACATGCGCCACTGCACTCCCAAGTGAAGCCCAGTCTGTGTGCAGAATAGCTGTCAACCCCTTGCAAGCGGACTTGGGCATCTAAGCCCACAGGGTTCAGGCCGATCGGCCATTTTGGCGGCAAGGAATTCCCGAATCCTTTTTAACTAGAAAGCAAAGGCCGATGTCAAAAGTATTGAAAGCCCGGGCGCGTTCGCACAGAGTCGACCGCAACGTCGAGCTGGCAGGCGCACAGAAAGTGAGGAGGGACGCTGACGATGTGCCCTCGTTTGCGGAGGTTTGCTAGTGTCTTGGGCTGTGCTAGTTTGCGGACCATGTACCCTGCAGTTTTACATGCCGTGAAAGACTCGAGTAGTTTCGGAATAGCCCGTCCAGCCCGACAACCCAAGCACCGAGCACCTCAGTCGGCTCGAGGTTTACGCAGATGTCGTGTGGGCGGTGGGCTCTATATCGCTGTTCCGTCCTAGCTCTCGGTGTTCCTTAGCTGCAGCGCTTCGAGGACTGTCGCCCGCGCCTGGGGCAGCTCGGCCTCGGCGTCGGCATCTCCCAACTCCTGGAGCGAGCGCCAAGGTCCCCGAAGCCCAAAAGAAAAGAGCACGAGCACACGAGCACCACGAGCTCCATGTTTTTGGGCATGGCCACCTGCAGCTCCCGACCTCGCCTTCGCAAATTCGCCCTCTGCCCCCCAACTCAGCCTATACGCTGCAACGATCGCTTCAAGCAGTGCTGATAGCGATGACTCGGCGATGACCTTCGAAGTCGCACATCTAAAGGCGCATGGCTAACTCCTCCATCTCAGCTTCCATCTGCTTCTGTTGCTCCAGGGCAAGGGAGGCCATGTACTCCTTCCACAACCAAGGAGGAAAAGCGGAGGGGAGGGCACAAGCAAAAGGGAGGGAGGCGGGGGGAAGGAGGGAGTGAGGGAGGCGAGGGAGAGATATCAAGCTAAGATTTCGAAAGCCAAAACCTCCGAGCAAAGGGTAAACATGCTTAGAATTGGAGAGAGATTGGCATCCTCGACTGAGATCTGACTCTTGCCGGAATCCGAGACCGCCCCGTCGACAACGGCCAGGCCTCAAGCCGCAAACAAAGCAAGCAGGACTCCAAGGTGGGGCGTTGCGCTTTGCAAGTACCGCTTTGAGCCAGGACTATGAGCTTAGGTACTATAGGTGCATTATGCTGAGCTCGGCACGCAACAGCTCGGAGATGAGATCCGCCAGATCCAATTCCTCCAAGCTGTGTGCCTCCAGATAGGCAGCGAGCGGCTCACCGGAGAAAGGTCGGGACAGCTTCCCCACCTCACGGCGAAAGGTGATGCTGCACACGCTGCGAACCTGGCATGCCGCGAATCACGCCCGTGCCCTGAAACTTCGCGTGGTTGATTGAGTCGATGGCTTCTCAACAATTCCTGGCCTGCATGAACTATACTGTCATCAAGTCATATCGCAAAAGCACGGGCGGTACTACTGTACCCTTCCTCGGCATCATCATGCATCGAAAGATGCGCAGTGTCCGGGGCACCGGCATGTGCGTCAGCCTTCTTCTGCTGAGCATTCCACTTGCCACGCCTGGAGCCGCCAAGTCGCGTCCGAGCATTGCCAAGCTGGCCCAATTCTTAATTCTCAAACTCTGATCGTTTCGTGACGTGAGGTTTGTCGTGCCGGTGACCTTTTGGGTCTTGGCTCTCGGGCAGCTTTTCTGTGTCCGGCATCTTCCCAACAACCGCGCAAACACCGGCACCGGGCCTCACGGCCGAGACCTTCGAGCCGACCTGTGTGGGTCGTGTCCCGCAGGTAAGGGAAAAGCGCGGAAGGCCAATCCACGCAGAGGTGTGACTGCCGACAACCTGGGGCACGTACCCAGTGGATGAAGATATACCTTGAGCGAAGAAGGTTGAGTGGAGGTGCGCAGAATTGAACTCTGAGAAAAAGGTACCCGATTCTCCCATAAACACGTAGAAAGCCGCTTCAACAGGAGTAGCGTGACCACAGAACTCTGAGGGTCGCGATCCCTGCTTCCCATACCACGTTTGGAGTGCCTTCTCTCCCAGAGCCTGAAGCCCTTCATGACAGCTTTGCCAGCTGTGTTCTTTGTCATGGTTCTTCAGGTACCAGTAAAGCGGTCAATCGAGCCAAAAGCGTCCAAGCGCAAGGCACCAACTCTGAACCGTCGCGTCAAAGTCCCCAAGTCTCAGCTATCCGAGAATAATTTGTCCTTACATCCTTTGCCTGTCTATCCAAAATTCGATCAAGCGCAAGCAGCCTGGCACGACTCCGAACCCTTCTATTAAAACTGCTGGTCGAGACGCTTGACAACCGCCGGGGTCGCGGTCATGCCCTCAGCAAGCACAGAACGCTGCGCTTCAAACAGTACACAGCGACAAAGCACGTGCTTTCGATCTGTGGGTGTCGTGTCATGTCCTGCATGCCGAGTGCATCCATGACTGCTACATGTCTAGCGTCCAAAAACGAACATCCATTTTCAGCCCTCCGAAAACTGGAAAACCAGACATCCTCTAGTCCTCAGCCTGAGCCATGGCCCAGAGTCCCAACTTCCACGCTGGGCTTAGCTTTAGGCCGTGAGCCCCGAAGCCTCAAACCCCACACAAACCCTTCTGCCAGGAAGCCTCCATCGTGGACGCCACGGTGTCGCGTCCAAAGGTGAAGCCTGGCAAGGTTGCGGGCGGCTAGCTGTTCGAGAAGATTCGTCTTTGCAGGTGTCGCACGCAGAACTGTGCGAAGAGTCTCCACATGACTTTGAGACTTTGTGGTCGCTTCAGGAGGGTTCGGTTGCGTTACTTGTTGCGGGACTCCTTGCTCATAAGTCCCTGGGCTGAGCGCGCTAGAGGAAGAGCTTGGATTTTTTATCCCCGCTAAGGGCATCGGGAGTTTTTGAGAAACTCGCGCCATCTTGGGGGGATGCATACTAGATTCTAAGTTCCGAAGACTTGATGTGTTGTCTACATCAAGTTACCTGTCCAGCCAAATAGCGTGCTTGTTCGCCAATGCAAGCTCAAAGCTCAAGCATAGATTCAGGGATTTGGCAAAAGCAGGTGGTGCTTCAGTGTACTTGGCTTGGGCTCACAAAACTTCAGGACAAGAGCAAAGCGTTCCGACACTTCCCGCGTCTTACGCTTCCAACGTCTTCAGAAACAGTGGAAGTCTGAAAGCACAGCGATCACAGCATAACAGCTCGTGAAAGTCGAAAGCTCCAGAGCTCAAGAAGCTGGGCTGACGAATCATGCCGAACAGAACCAAGTCCTCGGCGAGCCACTCTTTCATCCTGGCTGCTGCAGACCAGTTTGCGTTTCTAGAGGCTTCTATGCTGATTGAGATGACATGGCTTTCATCGATTCCTGCGGAGTGTGCTAATTGCTATGAGCGTTTAGAAAGCAGAGTCGACACTCCTTGCTCGATGAAAGCATGTCGCGATTTTGGGATGAAAGAAGGACCCCTCATCGCTCTAACTTCTGACTCCTGAGATATCCCGAAATCTGAGCACCCCGGCTCCACCAGGCCGCCATAGCCGGCATTGTGCCTCGGCTGCTCCCGCTTTGGTCGCGCTTCTGGGCATCTTTGCAGCACATGTTTCAAGGCTGCTCCATTCAGATACTCCCGATCCTCGTCTGACAGCTCCTTCCTGAAACTGGCACGTCCTCAGCCTAAGGATTTTGCTCCAAGCAGACGAACGACAGTTTTCTTTTACAGCCAAGGCTCAGTTCCAGTCTTTCAGGCTCCAAAAGGGCCCAGTTGTAGGGCCTCACAAGCTTTCAGATCGGGTTCACCCCACTGATACGTTTGTGCGATGAATGCACGTGGCAAAAGGGACACCTGCAGAACCATCGATACAAGATCACGACGAACGACAAATATTCCAAGAAATTTTGGACATGCTTGAACGCCGCAAAATGACCTCTGATCGTTTGCAGAGAGCGAGAGAGGGAGACACAGAGAGAGAGAGAGAGACAAGCTCCGTGCCCTGTGGTGTCGCCCACGGCAGCCAGGATGCGGTCGACAGAGATCTGCTTGCCCGGGTGGTCCTTGCGGCTAAGCTGGCGTCACTTGAAGGATTGCCGCACTTGGTTTCGGGAGTCCAGTCCAGTTGAATCTGGCTCCTAATGCAATATACTCCCGCACATTGCAGCATAGCATCTGCCACCCTCACAAAACACAAACACACACACAAGCAAACAAACACAGACACAGAGAAGGAGATGTCTAGAAATTAATGCGGCAGGACAAACAGTTGCTCCTTGACAGTGCGAGGCACTCGCAGAGCCTTGTCTTTCCCTTTTGCCTGCCGTGCAAAGCACAGGGCAAAGAATCTTGGACTCACTTGAGCCCAATGGTTCGCGGAACAAGAAAGTCCTTGGTCCTCTAAACAGCAAAGAACTATCAATTCCACGGAAAAGCTTTAACTGGATCGACAGGTTCTAGGCTGCAAAAACTAATTACAGCGTGAAGTTGTGCGGGCCTGAATGCCTAACGAGCCAAAACCTGCTGTGTCCCAGACTCCGAGGCCAACCCAAACGCTAAAACTCACGGAATTGAAGCAAACACGTTGTGGGCTATTGGAATTCTCAAAGCCCCAGCAGCTGTAAGCCTCTAACGTTTCACGATTCAGTAGTGGTTGAGGGCGATAGGGCTCTAAGCCCTCCGAAACAAGAAGTTCTCTAGTATATACCTTGGGCCGGACAGAATGGAGCACCAGTCTGGGCGTTTGACTCCGAATCACGCGACCAACAACTTCAAGCTCAACAGCCCTCGTTGACACGTCACCCCGAACTTGTAATCCAAATGGGACACAAAGCGGCTCCGAAGCAGGTGCATCCGTAGACTGCATGGCTCTGAAAGCCCGGGACAAGTGCGCCTTCTCTGACTTTGTCTTCTCGATCAGCATCTCATAGTCCTTCCGCAGGGCCTCATGTTTGTCTGCCATCGGGCTGTTCCCTTGACGTTCTACATTTTGAAATCAACCCCGCGCCACATGTCATCCTGATTTGATCCGAATCTCTCCGGAATGCGACCTATACAAATATAGAATGCAAAACTCCGACAAGGTCCCTAAGTGAAGATCCGAAGCCAGGACTCCGAAGTTTTAAGGACCGTTATACCCAATCAAGCCTACACCTCGTCAGGGGGCCTCTGCAGACATGGACTTGGCCATGCTGTCGGACGTCAAGACCTGAATACTCTTGGGCTTCCCAAACTCGAGAGAACTCAATCCTCTTGAGGGCAAACCTCGTTGCCCCATTCTTCTCGCGACTTCGATGTGTATGCCCAAGACTCAGTTTGAAGCATCCCGGCTTAGGGCTTAGGTTTCTCTTTTTCCGGGCAACAGAAGATAAAGTCCCAGGCCTTCATCAGGCGTTCGCATACAAAGTCGAGATGCAAGTCCTGCCAACTTGTGCATGATGCCGTGAGATGTGGCGGCCGTTGGTCCGTGGTGGTGCTGCTGCTGCTGCTGCTGAAGATGCCGTCACATTTTCATAGCAAAGGGCTGGCAAAGGGTAACAGTGTGCAGTCTTCGTTCTGCACCTGGCTGCTCTGTCAATGCTCTACCTGACCTATCAATCCTTTGCACCACATTTGAAACAAACTGCAGAGATGCGACTCATCACGGCGATGGAATTCAAAGATGTTGCGTGGCGGTAGACGGTTTAGTATGACAAGAACGCACGGGTAATCTCCATCGTCCGCTGCACCCACTTTCCATCGAGTCTATCCCAAACGGATTTCCTCCTTGCGTTTCACCTCGATGGTGGCGTGCGCCTTCGTCGCAAGGTTCCAGCAACATTATTCACATAGCAATTGCTGAGGAAACAACTGCAATAATTGCAGCCTTTACTAAGATAACGAGGGTTGTTGAAATCCCTCATGCGCCCTCCTCCCCCCACCCTTCCCAAAAAGAAACTGCATAATCTCGACGCTGTCTGTGCAATACTTCAGAGTGCTCTGTGCCGCCGAAGACGGTGCCTCGCCAAGCAGTCCCAAGACCTCTGCCGAACGCCTTGGCTTCTACAGTGGAAACAGAAAGTTGATGACAAATTTGAGAAAGCAAATGTTGCAGGCGTTGATCTGGGTTTGGGATTGGCACATCCAAGGAGGCTTTCTGCAGACACCATGAGAAGCCCTTCGGTAAGACTAAGATCGTCAGCATGCCGGAACTTCCACGCCTAAAGAGCATGCCCAACAAAGCCAACCCGACTAGAATCTCTAGCCTTTTCTAGATCGTGCGGTTCGGAGGCATTTCATTCTGTTCTAGCTTGAGATCTAAGATGTCAGCGCTTCACAGAACCTTAAGCTGAATTTTCCAGAATTGCCTTCGTGAGGTAAGCCAGAACAAATCCAAATGCTTCCATGTTGAGCGTCGCATTGAGCCGCCCCCGGCGCACTGTCGGAACTTCGTCTCCATTGAAGTGAATTGCCACCTCTGCTCTCTTTCAAAGCATAGCCCGATCTGATCGTAAAGGTGGCAGGAAGGTTCTACCTATATAGCTTGAAGCCCGTGGGCTGAAACATTCGGCACGGCCAAGGCTTTGACCTCAGGCTCAGTTCTGTAGAAGTGTGATGTGAGTGCGAAACTTGCGTTGCGAT